TCTTCAGACTATAGACTTCACTGGTTCCTTCCAGCAAAATCGACTGACTCGTGGCGGTCGACGGAAATCCGCTTGCAGTGGAAGTGCGTTGTGTTAAGTGTTACGTACGGGTGCTGGGCAGTGTCCAGCCACGCTGACCACAGAGTGTTATCTGAAGTGGCTTTCTAACATTTCCTGCGATCGCAACCGCTAATACTATACTAGTGAGGTTGAATAGGCAACGTTAGTTGAACTGGCATACCTGTCTTCGTACATAGTGTGTTCCATCGTCAGTTGTCCTAATCCGAAAACATTAGCTGTGCACCACTGCACCATGTCTGTGGATTACGATGGAGAGCCGCAACAGCAGCAGCTAGATAGTGGTATTGCAGGTGGTGGTGTCACTGTGAAGCCTGGCTGTGCACTGCTAGCGTTGCTCATGACCATACTGGCCATGGTCTACGTGTACGTGCACTATCGCTACGTGTATCGTCGTCATGGTGAACCACCACTGCTGTCCGGTACCATTCCCTGGTGGGGCCATGCGGCCACGTTCGGCAAGGATCCGTGTCAGTTTGTAACGGACATGAAGAAGAAGCACGGTAGTGTGTTCACTGTGGTGGCTGCTGGTAATCGTGTTCTACTGCTGTGTGACTACCGGCACGTTGTGGCGTTCCAGCGAGAGAGCAAGGCGCTCAGTGGTGCCGAGCTGAAGATGGAAATGACGGCAAAGATCTTTGGCGCACAGATGGCGCGTGCGGATCAAGTGCTGCTGCAAGACCACCGCGCATCCTACATCAACCATCTCTCTCGTGCTCCCCTGGCAGAGCTCGTATCTGCCTATCAGGACACTCTCAGGTCTTTTCTATGCTTACCAGAGGTACCTGGCTGCACTGCGCCACGCCATAATCCATATGACGTAGAGGCTGAGTTGGAACTAACCCCGGGAAACAAGCAGTGGCAGATCCTGGATCTATGCTCGTTCGTTTCGTGGACGACTTTTGCTGGTGCAGCCGATGCCATATTTGGCGACGGTGCATACAGCCCCATCGTCTTGGAGGACTATCAGAAGTTCGATGATAATGTCCTGCTGTTGCTTGGAGGCCTGCCATCGTGGCTTCCCGCCATTGCGTCATCGCTGCGGGCTCGCCAACGCTTGGTGGAGCATCTGTCTAAGAAGAGAAAGAACATGAGTACATTGATGATGCACCGCCGTGAGCAGTTCACTACGAGCAGCGCTGGAGTGAACATGGCTGACCTGCATGTGCACAACATGGCGTTCTTGTTTGGGCTGGTAGCCAACACCAGTCCGGCCATCTTCTGGACCCTCCTCCACCTGGTGCAACGTCCTGACGTCATCGATGAGATCAGGCAAGAAATACATGACATCATCAAGAGTAATGGAAGTACGGACGTCGGCAACGCACCGGCATCGGCAGAAATGTGTGATCCCAGTCAGCATCACCTATCCTCTAACCCAGACGTGCTGCGGGAGCAGTTGCAGAGCATGGTGAAGTTAGATAGTCTCATAAACGAGATGTTCCGCACTTGCAGCGCTCCGCTCCTAGGGAGAATAGCGCTAAAGGATTGCACTCTGCAGCTACCCGATCAGAAAGCGCCGATCCACATCCGTAAAGGCGACCGTGTTTGTGTTGCTACACACGCCCTGCACACTCAAGAGCAAATCTACGGAGACGGCATGGAGCAGTTCCAGTGGGACCGCTTCCTGACGCCGGACCGCCTCGAGCCACGTGACTTCCGTGATCGGGAGTCCGGCGAAAAGGTGCGGCATCACCTGCTACCGTTCGGATGCGGCACCACACTGTGCCCGGGAAGACACTTTGCACGTGATGAGATCAAGGTCTACATGGCAACCATGGTGCTTTGCTTCGATATCAAGGCAGTGGAGAGCGATCAGGCGGTTCCACGGTTCGATTATCCCCGTTCGACAATCGGCGTCATACCTCCACTTGCTGGAGACCAGTACCCAGTGTATATTCGACGCAAGCAGTTCAGCTGAGTGATCACTGATTATAGCTATGAGAAGTTCAAGGCTGCAGACATCACTCAACAGTGACTCGACACCATAACACCGAATGTACATGTACATGTAGTTTGTTGTTTAATAAGGTTATTCCAGAATTGCAATTTTCATGCTCCGCTCATCAGTGGCGGATGCAGGTTAGCTCATGTTTAGCTCGTAGAGTCGTACACTGTCAGCACTCAACAGTCATCCAATCGTATGTAATTACCCAACTACACCACAGTGCCCTCATCCATTTAGCAAGCGCATCTCCATTGTACTTGAGTAAGATTTAACCATGCCGTAACTAAGCTGGAATTGCCAGTTGGCATCTGACAGAGTTGCCTGGCAGTCACACTGTGCATCTACTGCTTGCACAGCTGCATAATGCCGTTTTTTATTTTTTATTTTTATTTTACTATTATTATTTTTTCGGCAACGCAGATGATGATGATGATCTAAGCTGGACGCTGATCTGGCCCTAAACAGGTCCGAATCCTGCCGCTTAAGACCAAAGTTCTTCTTCGATAACTCTTCTTCTTTGTATGCTAAATCCTTTGCGGTAATCGTGTGTGTGTGTGCGTGTGTACAGGCATGCGTGCGTGTGTGTGTGTGTGTGTGTGTGTGTGTGTGTGTGTGTGTGTGTGTGTGCTTGTGTGTATGCATGTAGAATGTGTGGGTACAACTCCTTATTAAAATTTTGAACTGCTCTTGGCACCTCTCATACTCAGTCTTTACCAGGTTATTCATGATACATGTACATGTACATGTACATGTACATGTACATGTAATGTGAAGCAAATTCTGCACAGTTGCACCTTCTCTCCCCCCCCCCCCCTCTGCATAGAGGTGACATAACTGGCATCCCTTTTTTTGGCGCTACACTCTGCGTAACGCCATGGCACGCACCTTCACTTCACAGAGCACAATGCAATGGCGCGCTGCGAAGTGAGGGTACATGCCAAATAATTATTGTGTTAATTCTAGCACATTACAGGAGGGGGGCACGGAGGCCCATGCGCCAATGAAATCCCACACTTCCATGCCAAACTGTTACCACCAGGGACGCGACGAGACATCAGGAACAGAATGGATTTGAGTGACCCGCCTCATATTATATTCAGTGATATTGAAGAAAAAAAAAGTAGCAGCACACAATGGCGGGCTGTATTCAGTTCTGCTGCTTCTTCTCCGTGATGTGCAAAGTTGCACCTTCTCTCTCCCCCCCCCCCCCCCCCTGTGCATAGAGCCAGAGGTGACATACATGTAACTCGCATCCCTTTTTTTGGCGCTACACTCTGCGTAACGCCATGGCACGTGCCCTCACTTCACAGAGAACAATGCAATGGCGCGCTACCTTCTGCTGCTTCTTCTCCGTGATGTGCTATTAATAGTAGTTGCACCTTCTCTCTCTCTGTCCCCCCCCCCCCCCCTTCTGCATACTAGGTGACATAATTCGCATCTCTTTTTGGCGCTACACTCTGCGTATATATACTGCTCTTGTGTTGCTTCCACGGTATTCATAGTTATTACCTGACAATGGCCAAGTGTCAAAACGTTGTAAAAATAACGGAACTGGTTCGGATGTGATGTGCAGCGCTATGGGAATGGGTGTGTCCACCCGAATTCCTTTCAGAGATGAATCTGCAGGAAGCCTCAGCCCTTCTTCAAAGCATACATGTACATGTAAGTATCGATTTCTGTGTAACGTCTTCTATTTTTAATAACGACATTTTCTGCTCGTATTAAATAGATAGAGAGCGCTTCGTTATTTTATTTATTTATTTATTATTACAACATCTCAAGACTCGGCGGAAGCACCAGCCAATGTTACGAGAGTGGGTGATTGCCAACCACGGCGATAAATAGAAATAAGGGGAGGGAAAAAGAAAGAGTAGCAAAATGAACAGCAACAACAACTCCGTAAAGAAAGATAATGTCAAATAAAAACAGTGAAAAACACAGAGACGCAAAGGACATGTGATACTTGACAGCCACGGCTTTTCCAGTGCTAGTATTACAGTACATGTACTCAGCACCTGGAATACCTAGTACATTATGTACATGAACAGGTACATGTATCATTTTTTTCAAACAGCTTGAGCCTCTTGTACGGGTAACTAATTACTTGTGAAGCGTCAACACAAAAGCGAGTCATCGGAATCAGAGAGTGTGTATAATCATATTATGATTATACACACTCTCTGACTCAGCATGATCATGACTCAGTATGATCACTGCCATCATTCAGGGTGCTCACGAATACATATTATTATTATTATTATTATTATTATTATCTACGCATGCATCTACGCAAGAGTCACCACCAGCCAATTAGGACATGTGTCACAGTATTGAACGTTTTCGTTCCCTTCTTGTCAAAATACTACAGGGAATGATGGAAATAAGCTAAAAGACTACAACTATAAGGAAAAGAAGTTCAGAAATACATCACTCCAATTATGTGTAGAAGTGACACGAAAAAAAAATATAATGAATCAAGAAAACAGCATGCAAATCCAGTAAGTGACAAAAACGTAGTGACAAGAAAAAGAGAGAAATAAAAGGAGAGTGTGTTGTCTTTGCAGTTGTTTGGCACTGTTCGTCGTGAAGGTGCGAAATAGATCTCTTGATATTTCTCTCTTTTTCTTGTCACTACGTTTTTGTCACTTACTGGATTTGCATGCTGTTTTCTTGATTCATTATATTTTTTTTTTCGTGTCACTTCTACACATAATTGGAGTGATGTATTTCTGAACTTCTTTTCCTTATAGTTGTAGTCTTTTAGCTTATTTCCATCATTCCCTGTAGTATTTTGACAAGAAGGGAACGAAAACGTTCAATACTGTGACACATGTCCTAATTGGCTGGTGGTGACTCTTGCGTAGATGCATGCGTAGATAATACATTTTTTGTAATATTTTCTGCCTCCGTCCTACTTTCAAATTATTATTATTATTATTATTATTGACTGGTTTTGAGGGAAAGAGACAAACGGGAAAAGTCTTCATTATTATTATTATTATTCAAAGAACAGTAGGGGAAGTGAACTGCCTGAAAAGAGGAAAAATCGCCAGACCCACCAGGACTCGAACCCAGGACCTTGCTTGTCATGAGCAATGCTCTAACCACTGAGCTATGGGACCGGGCTGTTCCTTTGAATTTGAAGTTCTCCCAATCCTTTCATAAATTTATCACTCTCTTTCACTTCTGGTAGGGTCCAGAAACTGACCGTGGTTGGTCCCCTGGGGGAGGGAGAAAGACCCAAGTGCCATCAGTATGTGTGGCACGTGTTGTGAGCTGCCTTTGGAGTGAAAATCTTGTCAGCGCCTTCTAGGTTCAGCCCGGTCCCATAGCTCAGTGGTTAGAGGATTGCTCATGACAAGCAAGGTCCTGGGTTCGAGTCCTGGTAGGTCTGGCGATTTTTTCTCTTTTCAGGCAGTTCACTTCCCCGACTGTTCCTTTGAATTTGAAGTTCTCCCAATCCTTTCATAAATTATTATTATTATTATTATTAAATTTTTGATAGGGCAATCCCCACAGGCCTATTAAAGGCCTTTTGACAGGGTACCCTAAAAAATGAAGAACAGAATTACGGAAGGTATGCAAGGAAGGACTAGAGCGGACCTCCGCTGGGAGGGCATTCCAGCGGTCAGAGCCAAGGAAAGTGACAGAAAATAAACCATAGCGACGTTTGGCTGTCGGAAGAGCAAGGGAAGAGGACACTTGAGAGCGGATGCGAGAACTAGTGCAGGTAGAATTAGAGCGGAGTAGGCCCCAGCGGCAGATGCTAGCTAAATGTTGCCAAGATGCTTTTTGGGATGCTAGCTGACAACTCAGAAAGATGCTAGTTTGGATGCTAGACAACACGAATAATGCTACCTATTAATGGTAATGGTGAAACATTTGGGTTGAAAACGGTGTTCCGTGCTAGTTATGAATTCTCATAAAGCAGGTATGTAAAAAGAGTTTTTAAAGGTGCGATGTTGGCATCATGTTGCTATGGAAATATTTGCAATACAAAAGAGCAAATACCAAGAAGTACCAATGGCAATGTGGGTCTTGGTCACAACTAGGTAATGCAAACAAATTGAATGTAGTGCATGCAATTATCAATGTGGTAGTACCGTAATAGTTAGTACGGTGCTTGTTGGAAGTTGTATACAGAGCTACAGTCGTCCCTCTCTAATCCGGCACTTTATAATCCAGCACCCTCGATAAACCAGCACAGTTTTCAGTAGCCAAATGTCCTCTTCATGCACATTGCAGCAGTAAATCAGATTTGTTAATCCAGCACCCTCCCTAATCCAGCAGATTTTCGTGGCACAAATGGTGCCGGATTATAGAGGGACCACTGTATAACTGTAGTATCCCTGACTGTCAGTAATCACACACTCACAGCCACATCTCTACCAGTAGTTACATTGTAGTTCACAGGTACATTCTATCTAAGTGCTTCTCACGCGCAACCACTTAGGACTAGATAGCCCTGTTTGCAAGACCGGTACGGCATGACCTATTGCGTTCATGCTGTACTAATACATTACATTGATCCCTGTATAGTCCGTTCCCCATCACTGATCCTCTTGATCCCTTTCGAGATTCCTTCCCGGTTCTAGGCATCCAACAGCTTTCTTCCCCGAATCCATGTTATTGTTCAGCCCTAGCTCACACACATTCAAAGGTCTTTTCCTTAGATCTTTCAACAGTTGTCTTCCTAGTAATCTTTTGCCCTCGCTCCCAGCTGCTCTCTCCCTCTGGCCTATATAAACCCATCATTCTTTCTCATTGTGTGTGGAATTATGAAGTGAAGAGTCTAAGCCCAAGAGCTTGTTTTCCTCCCGCTAGTGCTGTCAGCCTGTATCACTTTCTGTTGTAAGCCCAAAGTGCCTCAGACACGAGCAGGCTGGCAGACACTACACTGGCGTCAGAAGTGGGCTTATCGTACGTTGCCTTGTTTCCGTGTCAGTATGTCGCAGTCGCTGTCCTTTCTCTTTTTCTTGCTACCTTGCCTTACGTAGTTATTCATACATGTAGAATGGCCCGACCACGACAACAGAAAACCGCTCAACAACGCGCACAGGCTGCCCTGGCTGCTCCTGCTCAGGCTCCGCGTGCTCCTCTACCACGGCAGTGGACCAACCCGGACAAGTTTGATGGCGGACACCAAAATCGGTGGGAATCTTGGTGGCTCCTAATTCAGCGCTAGATGTCTGCAAGATGTCATCGCTCACCATGCTGCTCTAGTGTATCCTGCCCGTTGTCCATTCCGAACGTTCGCAGGATCCCGTCAACACAGTTGCTGCAACCTCCGCCGCTAACGTTAATCAATATGTTGTCAAGTCTGGCCAAGTAAACTGATCCGGTCCGTTCATTTTGCTTTTCTGTCTTCCTTCAGTCTTCCTGTTCTCTTCAGTCTTCCATTTTGCGAGAGTGAGAATCTAGGTTGGTCCGGTAGGCGTCCGATCATGGTGAGCCATGGTCTACCTAGCCAACCC